CCTGCCTCTGCCTCCCAGTGCTGGGATTAAAGGCGTGCACCACCCCCCACCCCCACCCCCACCCCCGGCAGAAATGCACCTTTTTAAAGAAGAGATCTGTTGATTATTTGTTTGTTTTAATTTTGTGTGTCTGCATTGTATATGTGAAAGTGCCCAAGAAGGTCAGAAGAGGACATTAGATCCCCAGGAGCTGGAGTTGTAGATGGTTATGAGTTGCCTTGTGAAGTGTTTACCTAAATTGTTCTATTATCAGTACAAAACTCAGGAGTCAGATGTTGGTGTAAAAACCTGTAGATCAAGAAAGTGGCGGGAGGAAAGATCAGCTGCCGCTTTCCACGATTCCTAGATCAAAAAACCCTCGAACATTTCTAAGCCCCTCCCTACTCTTTCCTGTACCTCTCTGTCGTTTCCTGGGTCCTTCAAAATCTCTATGACTAATTCTGGTCAGCTAGTTGACTTCGTCCCCTGATTCAAGGTTAACTTGATTAACAGTCTCAGAGTGTCACAGTGTGGTCAAATATCCGGCAACAGCCTTGTAGATGCTAAGAACTGAACCCAGCCAGCTCCTCTGCAAAGAGCAGTGAACACTCTCGACCACTGAGCCATCTCCAGCCCTAAATAGTAACTCTTTAAAGAACTGTTAAATCTTTAAACAGATTTGTAAATCCATGATGAAGATACAGTCCTCTACTCTCTCTCACCAACTCTCCGAGCACCTCTCAAAGACACCTACATCCCAATCTCTTTTTTTTTTTTTTTTTAAATAATCCACTGAGTCCAATTATTTTTGCTGCCCTTATACAAATGGGTGTCCGGCAGTTTCCTGTAGCACAGGGAACACGGTCCTAAAGCAAGCAAACGGCTTTTCCTCTTGGCACTCCTCAGCTGTCCATCGGTCCTCAGCTGTCCATCGGTCCTCAGCTAGGGCGGGAGCTGTGAGCCCCTTCTCCCTCCAGGTTGGAGTGTGCAGGCCACCACAGCTGCTGTGAGGTCCTGAGTAAGTCTGAGTTGGTCCTGTCATGTCCAGAAGACACTGTTTGACTCCCATCTTCTCCCCCTCTGGCTCTGGACCCTTAAATGAGGAGAAGGTGGTGTGTAACAGATGTCTCATTATGGCTGAGCACTTGATAGCTACTTACTCTGCATTGTGTCCAGTTCTGAGTTTCTGTCTTAACCACCACAAAGAAGCTTCTCTGATGAGTGCTGAGAGCTTTACTCATCTGTGGCTAGAGATACTCATAAAGGGCAGTTTGATACTGTGGCGAGATAATAGGTTCACCTCTAGACAACTGTGAGTTCCATGGCCACAGTGCTTGGTCACATTTACCGTGCCAGACATGGATTTCCACCTGTGGAGTGGGTCTTAGAGTCAATCAGAAAGCAACTATTCCGTAACATCCATGCTACTGCGGTACTCACAGCATATCTTGCCAGGCTAGTTGTTAATGTGCCATGTAGGATCCTCTGCTGGGTAAGACTATTGATGACTTTTCTTCCCCAGCAGCCTACATAGTACCTTCTAGTAGTATGAAAGCCCACTAGCAGCAGGGAGGAATCTTCTGGATCAGTATTAGCGTGATTTCTCCATGTCCTGTGACCAAAGTGTGTGTTGTCTTCAGCAGTAGGCTCTCTTCACTGTCAAGTTCTGGTGTGCAGCCAAGGGCTTTTTTGAACTCTTGAATACCGCTGAGCAACAGTTTGAGGGGCAGTATTTTATACCTGGCATTGGGTGTATTTGACAACCTGTGGCTTGTTTGAGGAGCACTGTCCTCCAAGTAGGATGGCTGTAGTTATAAACTCAGCTAGGCGCACGCACGTGTGCGCGCACGCATGTGTGCAAAGCCTTTAAAATAGGTTTCCACATTGACTTTTCAAACATACTGTTAGATATTGCTTCCTTACCTTCTCCCCTCTCCTTTCCTCCCATCCTTCTTCCAATTTCCTTTCTTCTTCATATCGCCTATATTGTACTATCCTACCTCCTTTACAATCTTTCTACTCTACCCTCAATGGCTCCTTCCTAGTTTCCTGGCTTCCAAGTTAAACACTGAAGTCTAAAGATCCCATGTTAGGACCCACATACATGCAAGAGCATGGGGCTTTTGTCTTTCTGAGTCAGGGATGCCTCATTCAGTGTAATTCTTTCAGTTCCATCCATTTACTGGCAAATTTCCAGATTTTATTTTTCTAAAGCTATGTAATTCCATTGTGTATAAGTGCCGCATTTTCAGTATCCAGAATGCATCCTTTTATTATATTGACTGTCTTATTGAGCTTTACCATGAGAATGTCATGAATTAGGGTTAAAGAACATGATCCTTCTCTGTTCTGCTTATAGTGAAATTTATCTGTTAGTAACAGCTATGCTCTTACTCCTAGAGTTTGTTTGTTTTGTTTTTGTTTTTTGAGACAGGGTTTCTGTGTTGCCACCAATGACCTGGAACTCTCTCTGTAGACCAGGCTGGCCTCGAACTCACAGAGATCTGCCTGCCTCTGCCTCCCGAGTGCTGGGATTAAAGGGATGCAACACCACTACTAGGCTCATTCCTGGATTCTTTTGAGCTTGTTATTTTTTCTGAGTTCAAGTGCTCACAGCTAAACAAACTCACAAGCCACCTACTCAAGGGACAAGAAAAAGGCGAGGATTTTAGGGCCTTCTTTTCACCTTTAATTGCTGTTTAACAATGGATGGGTTTTTGGTGTGGGTGGTTGATTGTGGTTGCAGGTTAGTGTGTTAACTTTAAGTTACATTGGTTTTAATATCTTCTGTTGTGATGCGTTTGGGAGCCCTTAATGTATGGTTTGTTTGTTGTAAGCACAGTGACCTTCCTTTCCATGTTCTTGTCACAGGGACCCTTAAAACAGGCTTTCATGGGTCCTGGGGCATGCTTGCTTGGTGAAGTGCTTGCAGCCCCAGCTCCCACATAATGACTGGGGCAATGCTAGGCTCTTGGAAGCCAGTGTGGGGCAGTGGACAGGAGGTTCCTGAGGCTGCTGGCCAGCCTGTTTACCCGAGTCTGTGAGGCCCCGGTTCAGTGACAAGACATTTCACACATCAGGTGGCCCTGACCGAGTCAGACAGCAGATCTTGACTTCTCACTGCCACATGCATACAAACACATACACCCTCCTCTCCCAATACACACAGAAAACACAGGCTTTCAAAATCAAGTAAAAAAGGGTTTCAGTTGGAGAAACGCAGCTTTGAAATTTGGTAGTCTATTTCGTTCAATATAATTATTTATAGCATAATATATAGGGCGATTTTTTTTTTTAGGAATATATTAAGTACATGACTTTTTTCCTATCTAATTTTGTTGTCTTCCCAATAGACATGTAATCTTGAAGTTGCCATTTGTCCTCAATGTTTCTGACTCTCACGTAAGATGTCAGGAAGCTTGGTTAGGCCCTCCTTTCTTAAGGGGGACTTAGGGTTGACTGTTAGAGCCGAGGCCGCCATGCTTGGTGTCTGTTAGCTGTCATTTGCCTCCTTGTGACTTGGAGGGGCTCCAGCAGCAGCTCTCACTGCCTTGCTTTCTGTTCCAGAAGTTTGGGCCATCTATTTCAAGAATATGCCACTACTTTGGAAAACTTGTGAGGGTTTTTTGTTTGTTTGTTTGTTTTTTCCAAGCAGGGTTTTTCTGTGTAGCCCTGGCTGTCCTGGAACTCACCCTGTAGGCCAGGCTGGCCTCGACCTTGCAGAGGTCCACCTGCCTCTGCCTCTCAAGTATTGTGATCAAAGGTGTGTGCCATCACCGCCTGGCTTGATTAAAATAAATAAATAAATGAGGTCAGCGATTTTCACCCTGTGGTGCCGCCCTTTGGGGACGTTGAGTGGCCTTTCACAGGTGTCGCGCATTAGACATCCTGCCTATCACACACTTAGTCAGTTTGATGGTTGAGGTCACCCATAGCGTAAGGAGGCTTGAGAACCACTGCTCTATATGAAAAGGAATTTTCTTTTTCTCTTTCCTTTTTGGAAAATATATTTTGGGCTAGGCCTAGCTATTCTTTCAGAATTTTGTGTCTTAGATGTGGCACGGGAGGCGCTTCACTGTGTACTTCGCGGATGTTCACAGTAAGCCAGGCTTTGCTATTTCTTCTTACTTAGCACTGTGTGGTTAAGTCTAGTTGACTAATTACCAGTAATATTATTTTAAAGTTTGTAATTTGTTTAGCCTGTGGCTTATTTCTTTTCAAATCTAGTACTTTGAACTCTTAACTTGGTAGTTTAAAATGTCATTTATATCAAAAAACGAAGTTGTGTTAGGCTTTATAATAATTAGTTCATCTTTTTGTTTTCTACCTTCTGTGAGAATTCCAAGTGTACAGAAACAAGCTTTATGAATTTAATATACAGTAGAATGTCATAACACTTGAGTAATTCTTAAAGCCAAAAGTGACATCCAATTTGAATATGTTGGAGTGCCCTGTGAAAAGATAACCCACGTAATCTTCCGTGGAAAGCGCTGTAACGAGTCACTGTGGCGGCGCACAGCAGGCCTTTCCATTTCCTTGTTCTTATCCCTTGCTTCTTACATTTGCCTTAAGTGTGCTTGACTTCTCTTATTTCACTGCAGAGCACCATACTGGGAAAATGTTTGTCCTTACAGTAAAGGAAGTAGTTAATTTAGAAAGAAAGGCAGTTTTGATCTCTATCCTGGGAAGAGGTTTAAAGATAGAAGTTTGAAAGTTGCTGTTCATTTTTGAAGTAGCTTCAACCTCCAGTTCTCAAAAATGTGTAAGGATGGTTTAGAAATGATACATGCACATTTTACATTTTACGGAGGTTAAAATTCTTCACATGGAAAAGTTTACCTTGGATTTGGTTATCCGATTTCCACTAAGAGAATTATTTTTAAAATATGGAAACTAAAGGGCTTACATTCTTTTAGTAAAAGATTTTAGTGAGTGGAACCCTGAAGAGTGATACCTAGTAGGGTCGTATGTCTTTTGGGGGCCTAAAGTGTGTTAACTTCCTATATTTGATTTTCAAATAGACACCAAATCCTACTGCAAGCGAGTTTATACCTAAAGGAGGATCAACCTCCAGGCTGAGTAACGTGTCCCAGTCAAATATGTCTGCCTTCTCTCAAGTTTTCTCTCACCCATCCATGGGAAGCCCTGCTGCTGCTGGATTAGCACCAGGTAAGTTGAGTAACTTTCCAGTGAGTTCCAGGTATCACACCTGTAAGCATTGTGGGGGTTTTTTTGTTTGTTTGTTTTTGTTTTTGTTTTTTTAATTTATTAGAAGTGAAATTGTGTACTTGAATAATTGACTGCAACAAAGAGCATCTGTCTTAGCCTCTCAGCCTGGAGCTCCTCAGAGCTGGAGGAACACCGTTAGCAGGGCTAGTCCTGCCCCTCTGCTTCCCCACTCTTGCCCACACCCTCGCCACCTCTGTCCTTTCACTGCTTCCTTCCCGTGGCTTCTCCTGTGGGTCTTCTCAGTTAGTTAGTAAACATGTCAGAACTGGGACATGTGTAAAAGTGCATAGAATCAGGAGTTTTCTATCAGGAGTTTTCTGCCATGAGGTGTGCTCACTTTTTTTTTTTTTTTAAATAGTCTGGATCAGTTGCGTGTTCTTCTGGAGCATGTCCATGCTTCTGCGTAGCTTCATAAATTGCTGTTATGTATTGATAAAGAATCAACAGTAATGAGCTCCATATGCCAATCACAAAACACCGGTTTGCTTAGTTAATGTATCAGCAGGACGTTTTGTGTGCCCATAGTTGACAAGACTACTTGAGGGTTGCCATTCTAAGGAATGCAGGCGTCACACGTGCTACAGTGCAGTACTCAGCCCCTGCAAAGGCCTTTGAAATGAGGAGGTGAGACTGTTACAGAGAATTCACATTTTAAAGCATTGAACTTAGAAACATCCATAACCACCTGGTGGTTTTGAAGCTTTCTAGCAACTGCTAACTTAGTTAACTTCTTAGTTAAGCTCTTTTAGAGGTCCCATATCTGAGTAGGGTGGTGCAGGCGTGTCCAAGCCACAGCCCCACCAAAATCTCACACTTACTTAAAGCATTGTGATTTTTCCATTTGTAACCCGATTAGTAGTTCTCAAGCATGAACTTTGTAGATGACATCTTGTTGCAATGTCAAAAGTTGGACCAGTACCTCTAGGGTGAATTAATTTTAGCTTAATTATTATAACTGAGAAATGACTCTCCTGCATAACTGACGTTAGAATGGTCACTCTTCTTTCTGTTGATGACAAAAGAAGCATCCTCTGGTACTACTGGAAGTAGGTCTGTAGCCTATCAAAGAAAGGCTTGAGCTGAACAGTCGTTTTAGGAACTAAAGCATTCCTAAGTCAGTGTTTGCTCACTGTGCAGAAGCCTGGGGTGGTGAAGGGTGCACCTCCTAGCTCTTCTCCTCTCCTTCCACTGGGCTAACGACTTCGCTCTGGCAATGAGAAAAGACAAACGGAATTGTGCTTTTCTTTCAGAATATTGTTGTTAAAACCCTTCATTGCCTTCCGTTATTTTTCCCCATACATCTTCAAGGCTTGGGAAAGCGTCTTTGGGTTATCAGCCAGCATCTGTCATCTTGGTTGGTGTGAAGACATCGACCCTGTGAATGTCACAGAAGCCACAGTTCTCAGGGTCCTAGGTTGTGCTTACGACTTGAAGGAATGAGAGTTAGCTTGGGCTTCAATGTCTTTCAGAACCCTACAGTTATATTCATGTGTTTATTTGTAAACAGGTATTTTTCTCTAGACACAGATGTTGTTACAGGTCCATAGCCTTTTAGAAATTACTAGTTTACCCGTTTCTCCGAAGTGACTTCTCAAGCACAGTATAGTAAGAATACTTTTACATAGCGTGGTCTACAGATTGTTTTAATAACTTTGTCTTAGCAAAGATTTTTCTGAACTGATTTTTAGGAATGAAATTTTGAATGTGCCAAGTTGTGAAATGATAGTTTAATGCTTTTATGCCACAGGAGTAATTTAATCATGAAAACTATTTGCTGACTTTTTAAAAATCACAATTTTTTCCAATAGCATTTTGATTTTATAATAGACTTAATAAGCTAAGGATTAGCATACTTTAATTAGCTGTTAACAAATTGGCAGAACCATAGCATGTTTAAAATGAGTTTAAGAGAGGGAGTGATAGAAAGAACATACATTTCTGGGTTGTGCTCTTTATTCTCATGGGTGTGGCATGTGCAGTTGTGACTCAGGGACTGAACACTTGTTCTTCTTAATGACAGAGTTCTTGAGTTTGAAAAGATGATTATTAACATAAAGATAAGAAAAAGCCATAGAGTGTCTTCAGCATTTTTCAAATGTCCATCCCTTCAGGTTTCTGGATTGACCAGCCACTGTATCTTATTGTATATCTTATGGTAAATTTTATATGCTTGAATATAAAAAGGAGAATAATTACTATGCTAAGCACGGTTCATGATACTTATTTATTACCAATTTTATTTTAGGTTTTTTGTTTGTTTCTTTTTACATTACTGAGGTCAAACCCAAGGCCTTGTATGTGCTAGGCAAATATTCTGTCACTCCCTTACATACTTTCTCTGCTCCTCTCCCAAACTGAAGGAAATAGATATCCAGTTTTCGGAGGAAGTGACTAGTTGTTTATTGCATTGTCCTAGAAGTGGTGGTTCCAAATGATGAGCTGAACTGCTAATATTGTTGTTGTTACTCTTATCTTGGGGAAAGTGAGGGAGAGAAGAAAAGGGGAAGAGATGGCGACATGAATTGACTTGTCATTCTTTTTCATTAGTGTTGAAACATTTTTTTAAATGTGGACATTATAAACGTCCTTACAATTTTGAAGGGTTTGGGCCATAAGATCTCTTCCAGCTTGAAAGTTCTATGCTTTAAAAAAAAAAAAAAAAAAAGTTCTGTGGTTCTTTAGGTCTGTGGTGTTTTCTGTCAGTCGAGGAAGGGGAGAGATTTAATTCCTCTCAATTGTAGCACATTTGGCTTGTTTAGCAGTCTACTCCTGGCACTTGAGTAGATGGAAACAAATTCCCATAGTGCTCTTCTACAGGGGCCATTTCTGACAGGTTGTTGTGAAATCGCTGCTTAAGTTGCTTGGAGTGACAGGACTCTTCAGCTCAGCTCACGTGTCGCTGGGCTGGAAGGAAACAGAAGTGATTGGTTGTTGAACTGTGCTGTGCTTGTCTGTCTGTCCTCTGCTCCACTCTCTCCTTCTCCTTTGTCAGATGCTCTTAAAATGTGTTCCCTGTGCCGGGCGTTGGTGGCGCACGCCTTTAATCCCAGCACTCGGGAGGCAGAGGCAGGCGGATCTCTGTGAGTTCGAGGCCAGCCTGGGCTACCAAGTGAGCTCCAGGAAAGGCGCAAAGCTACACAGAGAAACCCTGTCTCGAAAAACCAAAAAAAAAAAAAAAAAAAATGTGTTCCCCGTAGTTTAATTGCACTCTTTAATTTAGTTCTGTGTGCACGTATCCATAAAACCGGTCAGTTTAAGACGGGAAGGTAAGAGGAGGGCGAACTAAGAGTGATTAAAAGGACAAACTGTCCAGGTTAGAAATGCCTCTTCTAACGTGGAAAGATGAGAGCAGTGGTGTTAAATGAAATCCGCAGCTGTGTCTGCCTGTCTGTGCTATTACACCAATATCCAGCCAAAGAAAGGTGCAGCTGAAAACGCCCAACAGCAGGCATCTGATGGTACAGAATACCCAAACTCATACTGAACTCACACTGTCTTAAGCTGCATGAGTCAGTCAGAACACGAAGCTCAGAGGCTACCACTATAATTGCCTTGTGTTGAAGGATGTAATACTGACAAGCCATAAAAGATTTATGAGTTTTTCAACAGGATGATCATGTTGAGCAGGATAGAACACTAAACTCAGTTCTTTATAATTTTTCAAGTCTACCCTGAAATGGATTCTGTGAGAGTCGAAAATAATTCTGCCACAAATTTATTTTGACATTTTAGTCTTTATTGATTTCTCTGAATTGTTTTTATATTTCTATTAATAGAAATAATTCGTGACTAAAATATTATAATTATTTTACATGTTAATCTAGATTTCCAAAGAAGATTAGAATTCAGATCCTTAAGAAAGGACCAGGTTATATATTTTTTTAATCTAGCACAAATTTAAGTATTTACAATGCTTAATAATGCTTACTCAATAAAACTTCATTTTGTATTGGGAAATAATTTCTTAATTGGCACATATTTCTTGAATACGGTGAATTTTAGTGATTCAATAAATATCTTGGAAGAATTAGTGTTCAATTATATAATTAAATAAGTCAAGCAAAAATGAATGTGAAGAAAGTTTAACAGCGTCAGAACTAAAAGTCTATGGTGAGGTCCTGAGCATTCATGAGCAGCTTTTAAGTATTTGTAAGTTTTATGTTAAAGTTGCATGTGTCCATCTTTTTGTAACTACTTTGTTTTTCAGGTATATTCAGCACAGTCTTTCAAATCTTTCTCTAGTTTGAGGATTACTTTCTTTATTAAAATAATACATTTTAAAAGTTAACGGTTATTTTACTGTTAAGATCAGGCCTTCAGCGTTTTTGAACAGAGGAGCATTTTGTTGCCCTTTAATGTTGAGCTTGTCCAAGAAGGGGCTGCTGCATGTGTGCATGTGCGGACACAAACTGTGGTACCTGGGGAAGGTTGCTGGCAGTGGAACTCTAGACCATACCCAGGTTGAGGATGCCATCTGGCTGTATTCCTGTCCCACTTGGGAATTTCAGGAAACTGAGGCAAGACGTTTTTGGCGCAGAGGGGGATGTGGCTGCGGCAGCTGGCTTGGAGACATGTCAGGTAAGGCTGAAATAGCTATTAGTAGATAAGACACTCTTGCTGGGGAATCCTTGGTTCATTTGCCTGTTAGACTTGCGAGTTCAGTTGTGGGTTTCCTGTGTGTATTACATTATGTTGGCTGCCTTGTCCCTGAACTGAGGGCAAGGCCTGGGGGTGGGGGGGGTAGTTTCCCTTCAGCGATAGGTGGCAGATTCAGTGGCCTGTAGCAAAGGTTCCTGCAGTTCTTGGATAAGATTGTACTGTTGATGTTGAATATGTCTTGATGCACTTGAAACATGGACTGTTCTACTAAAGTAGTCCTATGGTTTTCCATATACTGCTTGGTTCTGTATAAAGGCAGCTTTAAAATCTGAAATGTCATT